ATAGCTTTCAGTGATGTAGCCCAGATTTTTGTTGGGGAAGGAGGAGGGAAGGGTCGCTATTATGGCATTGAAGGAGGATGTTGTTACGCTTCATGTAAACATAAAAATCATGTTTCTCTCTCATCAAATACTTTATTTACAACAAAATATATAAACCACATAAATACATTATGACACTGAAGGAGGATGTTGTTACGCTTCATGTAAACATAAAAATCATGTTTCTCTCTCATCATATACTTTATTTACAACAAAATATACGCTAGGACTAAGGCTGATTCGTGCACATTTAACATCGCAGCGCTGTAATACAGAATTTCGGTATCGATTTCAAAATAAGAAAAGAAAAAAAAAGGTTGCTTTTCTTCAGACCCTAAAAACCGGGTTTCACAGCACAGATAGCCCGACCAGTAAACTTAAACAGCTTCTCTTCTATTTCAACCTGGCGTTCGATGGTTCACGCGCTAATCCTCTACTGCACGTTCCGCGTGCTACGCAAGAACCAATAACCTAAATTTTAATTAGGAAAAATTAAACTACCAACAGTAACAAACACTGTCGCTTACATCAAGAACATAATGGGGAAAATCGGTGAACTCATTGGAGGACAGACGTTACCTAGCGCAGTCGAGGATCAAAGGAGCCGCTTTAAGTGAGAAAATCTTACGAAAAAAGGGGCTCCAGACACAACGAGGGGTACATTGTTCAGGACTCGCCAGTGCAAGGTATTAAAATAAGTAATTAAACATTTTCTGTTTTAAAACCTCCTGACATGAACAATAATTATCTTTTCAGCACTTGTAACAAACCTAGAGAATTTTAAATTTTAACAAGAAAACCCAAGTTTCACGTCATCTACGATAAATACTCATAGTTAAACAGCGATCACTGTACTGTTTCTAAATATACAAACTGCACAACCAACTTGATGCAACGCAAGTTTTAACATCGACACCACACGCAGTTGTTACACGGTTATGTAACATCGACGTGGCCAGACACCACACGCTGTTGTTACACGGTTACGTAACATCGACTTGGCCAGACACCACACGCTGTTGTTACACGGTTACGTAACATCGACTTGGCCAGACGTCACACGCAGTTGTTACACGGTTACGTAACATCGACTTGGCCAGACACCACGCGCAGTTGTTACACGGTTATGTAACATCGACTTGGCCAGACACCACGCGCAGTTGTTACACGGTTATGTAACATAGACTTGGCCAGACACCACACGCTGTTGTTACACGGTTACGTAACATCGACTTGGCCAGACGTCACACGCTGTTGTTACACGGTTACGTAACATCGACTTGGCCAGACACCACACGCTGTTGTTACACGGTTACGTAACATCGACTGGGCCAGACACCACACGCTGTTGTTACACGGTTACGTAACATCGACTTGGCCAGACACCACACGCTGTTGTTACACGGTTACGTAACATCGACTTGGCCAGACATCACACGCTGTTGTTACACGGTTACGTAACCGTCTTACAGTGATCACAGTGAACTAATAACACACAGGTATAGAGAAGTTATAACGTCTACGTAACTTAGAAAGTTTGACTATAAACAGGCATGTCTGGTTTAGGCTAACACACGGAATGCCCTCCCCAATATTGATCAAACACACTAGAAACGAGGTTCCACGTGGTTTGTATTTAACTCAGTTACGACATATAAAACCTTTGATTTTTTTAAAGAGTTATATATATATATATATATATATGAGACGCACAGGTGTATAAGACGCACCCTTATTTTGACGACAAAGTTTTGGGGAAAACGTTACTATACTATCTTTTCTAACTCCATTACTATAATTTAGTTTTTCATCATTATAAATTGTTATGTTTTTAAAAGAAAAAAAACTACTATTGTTATAAATAACACATTCAATTG